TTCCTCTCCAGATCCAAGTTCCTCGCAATAATCCTCCTGTAACTCATTCTAGAGAGAGAAGAAAAATAGGTCCAGTAGAGAGAGAAAGTGGAACACACTTTGAGACCTAAACTATACCACAAGCTTTGAGCTCGTAGTTGGCGAAGATTTTCTCCATTTTAGCTCAGAAATTGAATCAAATATTACAAAAACAAAAATGTATATGTGTGTATATATAGCTGTATGACTTCGATCATGTATAAAGTTCGGATGCAAAAGCTTTTTTTATAGGGGAGGGGTAAAATCGTCATATTGAAGGGTAATTTTGGAATTAGCTAAAAAGTCTGAGTCACATGCATCACCATATCACCGGAAAGAGGATTCTGACGTCTAGAGTGGGGCAAAGTGCTCAATTTTAGAACTACTATGACTAAGTTGCTCACTTTTTTACTTCAAGGGGGTATTTTGCTCGATGAAGTAAACCTCAGGGGGGTATTTTGCAAATGGAGTAAACCTCAAGGAGGTATTTTGCACTTTTGCCTAATACAAATTTATAGTAGCGTCCTTACCAATTAGGCTATCTTGGAGAATATATTCGGTGTGTCTGTTGCACAGGACCATCAGAGCAACTTGTTTTTATATGTGTTATGCACGTATTTGCACCTCGTATGCACGAACGATTTTGATGTGCTGTGTTGCACCCCCTATTGGACTCGCAAGCAAGTCGTTTAGAAGGAGTCTGCATGGCATGAGAAAGATTGATTTCTAGTGTCTGGAAGATTATACAATATTGTATAGCTTGTAAATATGTATAGAGTGTAAAAAAAATTCTACATGCATAAGGAGTTTGTATAGTTGTAGATATTTGTGTAAAGTGTTCTAGAAGATAGATGGGATTCCATATAAGGAGAGGATGCAGGGACGGAGCTAGGATGTAAGGTAAGGGGAGCAAAAATGAATTTTGGGGTTTGGGGGGGGGGGGGGGGGGGGGGGGGCAATAGTGTATTTTTTTATAGTAATTTTAGGGGGATAAATGTAATATTTTATGGGTATATTACTAAAAATAAACAAATTATAAGGGTAAAATACTAAAAAAAAAAAAATTTCAAGACCAAAGAACAAAATTGTTAGGCTTCGGCAACTTTTGGACGACAATAGAATACCATATTAAATTCTTCTATCACTATAGTGAATATGCTATACTTTGTTGAACATTGACTTATAGATATATCAAAGCTTTTATATGCCTTATAGTTTTGGTGAAATAATTTCAGTATTTGGATTGTTAGCTTTTCAATTCCATTGAGTTTAATACTGTGGCAAATAGACTTTATAGATAGTTCAAATAGTGAGCATTAGTTAGCCTCCCACCTGGTGTCACATGTTTCTTCATTATCGTAGAGACACTTTTAGAGTACCAAGGTAAGCTACTCATTCTTTAGTTAGTTCTTAACTAACATCCCAGAACTAGTTGTCTTACCAATGAATCATTATCTATATTTATAAACATCATCCTTCCTCATAATAGACGATTATAATAGATTTCAATCAGCAATTGATATTATTTTGTTAGAATTCTCTTCTAAAATATCTAAAAATTTATACACTACTCCAATTCTCTAGAATCCTCAATTCAGAAAGATTCTAGAATCCAACTCTCCATGGAGATGCTAAGCCGAGTTTTTTTTTAATTAGCGCTCGCATGTCCAAATGTCTTCCATTTCAGAGGCTAAACTTTAATACGGCTTATAATACTTTGAAATGGTAGCTCTGAAAATAGATATGGAACAATTTCAGGACCGAGTTGGTTGTATTACCTGATTATGTTTAGTTGTACCTTTTCCAATATTATTCGTGACTAATTTTTTTTTTTCACGCAAAGTGTGCATTAACAATTTGTCAAACACACCCTATTGGACTTGCAAGTAAATCACTTAGGAGGAGTCTACATATCATGTTATGGATTCAAAAAATGTCATTATAACGAGCCTAGAACAGAAACACCAAAAACATATCACATACCAAACAGAGCCATAATGACCAAATATTTTTTAATACAAATTTATAGTAGCGTCCTCACCAATTAGGCTATCTAAGATAAAATATTCAATGTGTTCGTTGCAAGGGTCCGTCAGAGCAACCTGTTTTCATACGTGTTGTGCACGCATTCGTACGCATTGTGCACAAACGATTCTAATGTTGTGTGGTGCGCCCACTATTGGACTCGCAAGCAAGTCGTTTAGGAGGAGTCTGCATAGCATGCGAATGATTGATTTCTAATGTCTGAAAGATTCTAGAATATTGTAGAGCTTGTAGATATGTTCAGGGTGTAAAAAAGATTTTACATGCATAGGATGTTTGTAAAGTTATAAATAGTTGTGTAAAGTGTTCTAGAAGATAAATAGAATGTCTATAAGGAGAGGATGCAGGGACGAAACTAGGATGTAAGGTAAGGGGGCAAAAATGAATTTTGGGGGGCAATAGTGCATTTTTTTTAGTAATTTTAGGGGGGGCAAATTTAATATTTTATGGGTATATTACTGAAAATAAATAAATTATAAGGATAGAATACTAAAAAAAAAATATATTCAAGACCAAGGAACGAAATTTCTAAGCTTCAGCAGCTTTTAGACGACAATTGAATACAATATTAAATTCTTCCATCACTATGGTGAATATGCTTTACTTTGTTGAACACAGACTTATAAATATAAAAAAGCTTATAGATGCCTTATAGTTTTGGTGGAATAATTTCAATACTTGGATTGTTAGCTTTTCAATTCCATTGAATTTAATACTGTGACAAATAGACTTTATATATAGTTCAAATAATGAGCATTAGTCAACCTCCCACCTGGTGTCACATGTTTCTCCATTACTGTAGAGACACTTGTGGAGCACCAAGGCAAGCTACTCGCTCTTTAGTTAGCTCTCAACTAACATCTCAGAACTTGTTGTCTTACTAATGAATCATTGTTTATATTTATAGACATTATCCTTCTTATTAATAGACAATTAGAATAGATTTCAATCAGCAGTTGATATTACTTTGTTAGAATTCTCTTCTAAAATATCTAAAAATCTATACACTATTCCAATTCTCTGGAATCCTCAACTCAGAAAGATTCTAGAATCTAACTCTCCATGAAAATACCATGTCGAGTCTTTCTCGATCAGCGCTCTTATATCCAATGTCTTGCATTTTAGAGGCCAAGTTTTAATATGGCATATGATACTTTAAAATGGTAGCTCTGAAAATAGATATGGAACAATTTCAGGACCAAGTTAGTTGCATTACCTGATTATGTTTTAGTTGTAGCTTTTCTAATATTGTTGGTGACTAATTTTTTTTGTCACGCATATTGTGCATTAACAACTTGTCATGCACCCCCTAATGGACTCGTAAGCAAGTCGCTTAGGAGGAGTCTGTATGGCATATTTTGGACTTAAAAGACGCCATTACAACGAGTTTGGAATAGAGACACCAAAAACACATCACATACCAAATAGGGCCATAATGACCAAATATTTTTTAATGCAAATTTATAGTAACGTTATTACCAATTAGGCTATCTAGGAGAATATATTCAATGTGTCTGTTGCAAGGGTCCATCAGAGCAACCTATTTCCATACGTGTTATGCACGTACTCGCACATATTGTGTACAAACGATTCTGATGTTGTGCGGTGCGCCCCCAATTGGACTCGCAAGGAAGTCGTTTAGAAGGAGTCTGCATGGCATGAGAAGGGTTGATTCCTAGTGCCTGAAAGATTCTAAAATATTGTAGAGCTTGTAGATATGTTTAGGGTGTAAAGAAGATTCTACAAGCATAGGGAGTTTGTATAGTTGTAGATATTTGTGTAAGATCTTCTAGAAATAGATGTGGTGTCTATATAAGGAGAGGATGTATGATTTGGACAATGGCGGCATTGTGTTTTCCGCTCAATATAACCATCAACGACCATCGATACAATTTATTTTTCTCTTGTATTTGAAGAACAATCGAGGTTTGAGCCAATTGATTTCAGTTTCTGCGAATAAAGTTAACATTTTCTTTCTATTTTTGACTGATTTGTTTTAGTTTTGTGCTTCGAATTCCACTTATAGAGGGTTATTTTGTTCATTTTGATAGTTTTTTGAAATGTAAACGTCTTTTTCTGCAAATTCTAGATTTTGTTTTGATTATTTTAGGCTCCGTTTGTTTCAACGTAAACCATTGGCAACTGCTTTTATAGAAATTTCTGCATTTCAGTTTCTAAATTTTTTCGCAAACCATTATTTCAAAATCCAGGCAATTCCATTCTTTTTCATAAAAAAAAGTTTGTTACATCTTAAGCATTTACAATAATGAAATATTATGCATTTAGCTAGAAACAAATAATGAAAACCCTACTTGAGATAAATCAATACTAATATGTTAGAAAAATTATGAAATTCCTAATTTAGATAAGGCAAAAAAGCATAAAACCCCCTTAATTATAAAAAATCAACATTTTACTCCATTGGACTACAAAATTGAGTAAGTCAGTACCACAACTATCATAAATGTGCAATTTGACCCCCCTGACAGTCCTTTTCGGCTCATTTTCGGCACAAATGTAGCACATGAAGTTACTTTTATATAATTTCATAACTGCCCTTACAAAATAGAAACTAATTATACGTGTTTCCTTGTTTTGGGTGCCACCATACAATTTGCATTACCGTGTAATATAGTTGTGAGCCCCATTATATATATATATATATATATATATATATATATATATATAACACAAAAAATATTTTTGGAAGTATATTTTACACTCAAACCGAGCCTTACTAACCCCCATCGCCCTACACATGTAGGCCCAGGCCAAAGTGCAGGCTCAGGCCCTATTCAAAACCCAAAAAGAATGGGCCCATGCTCGGACAAATGACTCCATTTTGCCATTTACAAACATGCGGTTCAATACGCAAAAATTGGTCATGATCATCATATTTACATGTACGTCCAGGATCATGGTAACACTGTAATGAAATCTTTCTTCGTATCAGCCTATAAAAACTTCTAATGCTATATAAAGTACCAAAAGCCACCTCCAAAACCCTAATCGTTACGGGGCAGCAACACTGAGAAAGAGCAAGGCAATTTCGGCCCCCATTTGTTCCATCGAAGATGAAGGTCTGATCTGAAAAGAAACCCTAAAATTCGAACTTGGATTGTCATCTCTCAGTATTTTCTGATAAGCTCTCTCTCTTTTTGTTTTTGTTCCTTTTGTTTTTCTTGTTTTCAGTTCAATATAGCAAATCCAACCACTGGGTGTCAGAAGAAGCTCGAGATCGACGATGACCAGAAGCTGTAAGAAAAGCTCCTTTTTTTTGTTTTTGTTTTTTTGATCTACGTCACACAAATCATGTATTTGTTTCTTTAGTTTAGTTGTGTTAAGTGGAAGATGTTTGTGATATACAGTGTTGAGTTTGGTAAGAGTTTATTGTTTTTAATTTAGACATTTTAGATTAATTGTTCATATGATGGACAAAAAATGTGACGGGTTTAATTAGATTTTACCTCTCAAGTTGATTTCCTTAGCATTTTGCGTTGAAATTGTGGATATCAGGGTGATTTTGGTGAGGTAGAAGGCAGGGTTGAATCAGACGGACATTTGCTTGATATGATCTGAAATAGTGTCATTCAAACCATTTCAAGATCATCTGAATTCGAGATAGTTATTCTCTTTTGTTTTTTATTTTATAAAAAATAATACATGTTGGTGGACTACCTAATATTCCTTACAAAATAATTAAATTGGATACAATCCTTGGTACTATGGTTTGTAAACAAATAATAGATATTTCCCTTTATTTGATCTCCTTCATTGGTACAGTTCTTTATATTAAATTGGATTGAATCTTCAATGAAAGCAACGCTATTTTGATTTTTGATGTGCTTGTTTTACATGTTTAGAGCTTGGGGGTGTTGGGAGAGCTTCAGTATATTGTCAGTGCCTTTAATTGTTTTTCTTCACCCATGAGCTTGTATAGACTCAATGGAGGGGTGGTGTCTTGAAGATTCCCTGATATTTTGGCATGTGTTACTTCATATCTATCTATGTTAATGTATATCACTTGTGGTATTTATCCATGTTTGTATATATTTGTTAGGATGATCCATTTAGTTGACCCATTTTCATGTTGGTTTAAGCTTGTTGGGTAATTTATTTGACCCATCGACCCATATAATATGATGGGTCAGATTGTTATTGATGGACCTGAATTGATCGTTAAAATTTTGACTGACCCATCAAAGAAAATGTTTTGACCGTCGTCTCTTTCATGATATCATATCTCAATACCCAACAAGAAAGAAAAGGAAGAAATACAGAAAACAATTTCAACATAAAATCAAACCTTACAAGGTTTTAGGATTTTAGAAACTATAGAGATATGTTACAGTGTAGCTCCACCTTGAGATCCGTTTGAGAGAGAGAGAGAGAGAGAGAGAGAGAGAGAGAGAGATGTATGGCTGATGGAGGGCTGCCAACTGGATTATGTAGCAGTGTTGACCTGTTTGAGAGAGAGAGAGGAGTTGTGGGGTTTGTGGAGGGCTGTTGGTGAGATTTTGCGGTGGAGCTGAAGAGTATATGCTGCTGTATTCTTCTAGTTATAGGGTTTATTCTTATCTCCTAACATTACCAAAAGCAATGACTTAGATGGATTAAAATCTAATGGGTGAGATGGAATCTTATCTGGATGATGGGCTATTGGGTTAATGAATTATAACCCTTTGGGTCTTATTAATGAAATGATATGAGTTGGGCCAAACTTGTATATCATATGGGCTAATGTTCACACGAGCCTAACGCGTTGAGCTCAATTTTGTTCAAGCTCGGCTTGTTTACTAAACGTACTTAAGAACTGAGGCTGTTTTCTAAATGAATGAGCCCGAGCTAATCTTTTAACGAGCCGAGCTCAAGCCATTCATGAACAGCTCGGTTCATTTGCAGCCCTAATCTTGTATATCATATGATTTTGCAAAGTTCCTTGACTAGGTGTTCTATTAGCATTTGGAATATACATCAGAAGACATTGGATTCATAATGTGCAACAATGAACTGATGATTATTAATTTAAACTTTGCTATAACTGAACAATGAATAGTTGGTATAGTTTGTATCAAATATCTTGGTTATCTTATCATCAGGTATTGGATTCATAATTTGCAACAATGAACTGATGTGTTATTAATTTATACTTTACTGTCAAATAACTAAATAATGAACAGTTGGTAGTTTGTATCATATATTCGTTATCTCATTATCAATTTTGATGATGCAGCCGAGCTTTTTATGACAAAAGGATCTCACAAGAGGTCAGCGGAGATGCTTTGGGTGAGGTATGATTTTGCTACTTCTTTCTGTTCGTGATTTCTTCATTTTTCGTTTGTGGAAGATGATATGGTAATCCATTCTAATGATTTGTCAGGAATTCAAGGGCTATGTATTCAAAATAATGGGAGGCTGTGATAAGCAAGGTTTTCCAATGAAGCAGGGAGTGCTGACTCCAGGCCGTGTTCGTCTTCTGCTTCACCGAGGTTGGTGGAATGTGAATATCTTTCTTTTTCGTCTCTTTGTGCATCCACTTGTGTGATTGAATTGAATCTTGTGGATGGTTACCTGGTTGATTTTTCTTCTCCTGGGAGTGAAGTTGAATAATTGAATGCGTGTACAACAGGTACCCCTTGCTTCCGAGGATATGGTAGGCGAAATGGAGAGCGTAGAAGGAAGTCTGTTCGTGGATGTATTGTTAGCCCTGATCTCTCAGTTTTGAACTTAGTTATTGTTAAGAAGGGTGATAGTGACCTTCCTGGACTCACTGACATTGAGAAACCAAGGATGAGAGGTCCAAAGAGAGCATCAAAGATCCGAAAACTCTTCAACCTTTCCAAGGAGGATGATGTTCGGAAGTACGTTAACACATATCGTCGAACTTTCACAACCAAATCTGGTGAGTTTTGTCAGTCATCTATTTTGTGGTGTCTATGGACTTTCACAGAGATCAAAACAAAGAAAAATCACTCATATTAACAAATTTTTATTTCTGAAGAGTGGTGGAAAATTTACTCAAATGAATATTAGATGGTTGTATAAAGGTATTTAGTTATTATTTGGTTATGTTATAAAAATGTTATGTCATTTGTGCTGACAACAGGGAAGAAATGTAGCAAAGCTCCAAAAATACAGAGGCTGGTAACTCCCTTGACTCTGCAGAGGAAGCGAGCTAGGATTGCTGATAAGAAGAAGAGAATTGCGAAGGCCAAGTCCGAGGCGGCTGAGTACCAAAAGCTTCTTGCCTCCAGGTTGAAGGAGCAGCGTGAACGTCGCAGTGAGAGTTTGGCGAAGAAGAGATCCAGACTCTCTGCTGCCTCTAAGCCATCTGTCACAGCTTAGATGACTGGGTAAAATCTCTGGTTTATTAGTAATATTTGATGTTATTCTCGAGTAACATTCATATGTTGAGGTGATATTGACTGATCTTTAGATGTCTTAGTTTATTTGGGACCTCACTGAGAGAGTTTGAATTGCTCCACATGTAATGCGTTCTTTAGATTTTGTTTAATTCATTTTGTCATTGGATGTGTATCTCTTTAAATACATTGCATCTTCTGGTTATGTGTATCTCTTTAAATACTTTGCATCATCTTGTTTGATTGGATCTTTGATTAATATTTGCTCTCTCTCTCTCTCTCCCCCATACTTTTCATTGAAAAAAAAAAAAAATTGTAGTCTTTTTCTGGCCACTGGATTCAGTTTTAACAGATATGCTGATCTTTTTATTTTTTTAATTTTTTTAATTTTAATTTAATATTTCTTCTTTTAGTTTCATTATTTCGAAGGCTAAAATATGGCTTAGATTATCAATTTTTTAAGTGTTTAACTATGCTCCATTAGTTTTGCATATAGTTTTGAATTCCTCACTCCACTCCACGTATGTTGTCAAACAGTTAGGCATTTTGAGGGTTAAATTGATGGTCTGGAAGGGTTTAAGAAGTTCGAAAAAAAGTCTGGTAAGGCCCCTCCTGTGTCTATGTATCTAAACTTGTATGTAGTTGTGTCCTATCAGCATAGGAATATTTAACCCTTTTCCAATTATAATTTTAGAGATTTATTGGCTCGTTGAACTTCTGCAAATTTATCAATTGACTGTACAGTTGTTTTTTGTATTGTGGTGTTGAATTCCAATTGTGTTATTCTGGATTATTGTTTGAATGTTAATGGAAGTGTGGGATATAGATGTGAGATATTTTTAGGACTTGAACACCTCGATCTTCCCATATTCGGGTGGGCCTCAGTCTTGTTAGGCTGGGTACTTAGCCAAAGGGTTTCACCCTTTGGTTTTTCAATTTGGTACTGAATTATATTTTCATTCTGTGCAACGTAACGTTCACGGAACCAACGTTGTATAGCCCAATGGTATAACCTCCCCTTCCTCAAAGAGGAGGGGAGGAGTTCGATTCCATAACCTGTCTCACCCCAGCCATACAACACGAATCGTGTCTAGGAGAAATACCCCCGGACTCTGATTAATCCCTCCATTCCCAATTAGGTTTTACTGTAATGGAAAATATTTGAGTTGAATCTCCAAGCTTTAACAAACATTTACCCTTGCCAAGTAGTGTTCGAGTTAACGGCAAGATGGGAAGTTTATGGCTTGCCTGCATTTGTTCAGCCGGGGCAGTTCTCTAGTGTTTTGACTTTGAGCTTAATTTTGAAGAACTCTTTTCAAAAACTCAGAGAACTCCATATGTTTTTCCTAAAACCCTCTTGTAACTTGGCATGTTTGGTGTATGCGTTCTGATTTTGGTGTTTTTGGGTACGGTAGCAGTGGATGTTATGTTTTTCACTGTGCCAAAACGTTTCGTGAATAGTGGTAAAAAATCGAAACACTAATTTGGTGTTTTTACATGTTTCACGTTTTGAAGGACAGTAAAAAAAAAAAAAAAAAAAAAATGTCTTGAAACTCTCAAATGACATTTTGAAACTAACCATTATGTTTTTCAAACTTGTTATATTTTTTTACTAAATATATTTTTATGTTTTTACTTTTGAAAATCTTGCAACAAATGAACGTTACTAAATGTGCTTCCAATTACTATTCAAAACATTATATAACAAAACATTTATTTTGTTTTGGGTTCGGGTTAAAATAAAACTCGCTAAAAACAAAATCTGAACCAAACAGGTTTTAGTAGAGCACACAAGCAGATTCAAAACAAAATTTTCAGTTTTTGTCATTTGTTTTATGAGATGCAATCAAGCAAAGGCTTACTTTTTACTTCAAACTTTGACCACATTCAGTAGCATAGGAAAGCCCAATCTAAAAACTTGAATTAGTTTCGAGAATCCATCTTTACTATCATAGTATAAGAGTATATTATGAAATGGCTATGCAAACCTTCCCGTTTAAATTTAGAATTGTAATTGGTCAAAACTTTACCTTTTAATAATTGTCAATTCATATATTGAATTAATTGTCATGCTTTGTGGTAGTGCTATTTATTATTATTATTATTATTTTCTTATTTGATGTGATAACTAAACATTATGTAGATATTACCTATAAAAGAAAAAGCTAAATCTAGTCATATCTATATATAGTTAAAGATAAAACGTATACGAAATAAAGACAAGAATGATAAATAATGAGGTTTGGACATGTGTGAAATGAGGCTAGGGTGGGTGGTTCTCCCTCATGTTTCTTGGCAGAAGAGGTGGTCCTCGCTTCAGAAAGAGTGGAGTGAGGCAGGCTCAGCCTTTGGACACATTTACTGAAAACCAGTGACAATGACAGTGACACACACCCTCACTGTTTTCATAAAACTACATGTATAGTAGGATAGATAATCATATCAAAACACTGTCACTTATCGAACAAATTACCAATGAAACAACATATTGAATACAGTATTTAACTATTTTGTCTTTTAATTGGTTATTCATAAGAGTGGTCAATTCAGTAGCATAATGACATTGACTTTATATAGCGTTATTGAACTGCAGGACCCATCAATTATATAACATCTCCGTGCTTGAATTATAATATATATATATATATATATATAGTTATAATTCAAGTATATTTATATATATAACTATATTTGACCTCCCTGTCTCATAGGTTTGAAATATTTAATAGACTTTGATCGTCATAAGAAAATTGGACATCAAATTGTAGTGGCATTGACCCTACTATATGGGAGTCATTGTCATTGAAATTCTATGTGGTTAATGTATTGAATGCATTTTATTCCCCATAGGATGTATTATGAACACTGTAGTTATATATATATATATATATATATATATATATATATATATATATATATTGGATGCCGTGGAAACCCTCTCAATCACCAACTCTTTAAACTTGTTGGTAAACTTTAATTATGTGCAATTGCTCACAAACTACACTAATCAGTTAAATCCGGATTTCTTGCCTCAGGGAGAGTTGAACACAAGACCTCTTATGCGTGGAGCTCTTACGTCCAACTCCCGAACTATTGGAGCTAGCCCGTGCAGGCTCGATCCTGAGAGTCAAACACAAGACCTTCTATACGAGGAGCTCTGACGTCCAACTCCTAAACTATTGGAGCTAGCTAGCCCATGAAGGCACGGTTTTATTTTCTTGTACTTCAACTTTTTTTCTTTTTAAAAATAAAAATGACATTCCGTCCTTAAAAGTAGAGTTTAGTTGGAATTGTGAAGCTTAGGTGTGCTTTAATGGACAATTTGTCATTTACTATTTATTATTATTATTATTAGAAAAAAAGTGAAGTAGAGTCATGTGACAAAAGGGGAGTGCTGGTCATTTCCCTCTTTCATATTGTTAAAATAAAAAAGAAAAAAGAAAAAGCCATTTAATATATGGTGGATTTTAGCACTTTTTAAAATGGCTCTCACTTATTTACAACTAATTGTAATAAAATCATATAAATGGATGCTTTTTTGAATGGCTCTCACTCATTGATTTCAATGATTTAAAGGGTTTGGAAGAGTGGTGGAAGAAGAAATAATTCAGAGAATAAATTTGAAATAAAATTTTTGATATTATTCTCAAGATTGATTGTAATAATCTCAATACTAATAATCCAAGTTCATGTAACATTTGTCCACCATGAAGACATTTGAACAATTCCGTCTCAACTTTCCTTCTTCCTTCCTATTCCATCAAATGGCTCTAATTATGTAACTTTCCTTTCCCTTCCAGCCTTCAATCTTTTCCATAGGAGACCTATTCACCACCCTGCAATTCCTTCTGATCTCCCCTGGCCTCCCTGATTGCAAGTCACCCATCTTAACCATCCCTTCAATGAAGGCATCAAAGAATTCACCTTCATCAACACTAAACAGCTTCACAAATCCTCTAGTTCGCGCGTTTGTGAATAGGGTTTCGTCCGAATTGAGAAATCCTCTGCCATGGACCAAGTCCTTGAAGTACTGGTTATCAAAAATTTCAGGCGTTGCATCCAAATCTCCCGTCACATTCTCATCCCCACCAATTGGACACAGCTTGTCCAGCTTTTCTCGGAACCTTGGCTCAATGGTTGGGTCAGGCTGGCCAGAACCGGATTGATTATAGAGCCGAAAGATTATGGAAAAGCACCTAGCTTTGCCAATGGAGTGTGAACCAGAAAGGGCCACAAGGTCTTTGATTGAGAGATTGAATCTGCCAAAGAGATCAATGAGGGTGCTTGCATTTGCTCTTGGGCTTGGCATGATGTTGTCTGAGTCTTCTTGGCTGGCTGTTAAGCTGTCTTTCCTTCCCAATTTCACTTCCCAATCAGGTCCTCCACTCTGCTTCAACACAAACAAATAAAGTGAAATACTAAAATATCATCAATTTGAGGTCATAATTGGCCAAAATTTCCCTTTTGTCACAACTTTTTGGGGTTAATTTACTAAATTCAAATCATATCTAATAAAATCAATAAAGAGGGATTATAATAGTGACAAGATGATGACTACCAAATCAATTTAAATAAAGTAAACCATTTGTGCATATCTACTTTGCTTTCTTTCTAATCTACTATTATGCAATAGACTCAGTTTTAGGATTATTTTAAGGCAAAGTCATGAGTCTCGTGATCAAGTTGAAGTTTAATAAAAAAAAAAACCCAATTTATCTAAACATCTAGCAATCAATCTTCAAGGGGCAAAAGCCCCGATGCCAGGTTTTTTTATGTGTTTGTATATATAAGACACACAAACACACACACATGTGGACAATACTTACCAAAGCAACAGCATCTCTAGAGGCCATGATTATGATATCGGCACAAGAAACAATTCCAGGGCAGGCCTTCTCTAACTCTTTCTTGACTTCATCGATAACTTCATAAGATCTTAGTGAATTTATATTAGACAAGGAAAGTTTTTCACCAAGCATGTTTGGTGTATCATCAAGCAGCAGAGAAGCATCACAACCCTGTAAAAATTAATTATTCAAAAAAAAAAAAAAAACACCCAATTGAAAATCAGAAAATAAAAAAGGAACTAGAGTAGACTGAGTAGTAGTTTTTGTGATGTTATTTACATTAACAAAGCAATCATGGAATTGCAAGCGCATAACGGAGGCTCCATCTCTGGGTTCCCTGGCCATGGCTTTCTTCATCACGCCCCTGACAATCAGCTCGGCTTCCGGGCACGTCTCGGTGTAGAAACCAGGGCAGAGTTGTGCTGCCGCGGTGGCGGCGGAGATGGTGGAGGCAAGGAGGAGGAGGAGGAGGAGGAGGGCAGGGGACATTTTTGGGCACTGGTTTTGGGTGGAATTGAAAATGGTCCAACTAGGTGTGTTGTGAATGGGTTCTTGAACTTCTCTTTCAAGTGCACGTATCATGTATGGGTTGGGGGAAAAAATGGTTGTGGGAATAGAAACAAATTCCCTTTGCATGGTTGTCAGCAGATGACAGGGTTTTGTTATTACATTGGGAGACAACATAGGCCAATTGGCTGTGTGGTGTGTCTGTGTGTGACCGACTTATATATATATATATATGCCTATATATGTATACTTATACTCCTATATCGTATTAGTCAAATATTGTTGATGGATCAAGTGAGTCACACCAGTGCGGCACCCACAATGATCTCATGATTATGTGGCTTTGTTTTGTGATTTTGCAACTAATTGGACCCACTTAATGGAGTATGATCTGCTGTGGATGGCACTACAGTTCCAGTTTGTACTGTGTGAAAATGATTTTAGTCATCCAATACAGTACAAAACTTGTGAAATAAATCTTGCAATTATTTCAGTCATCGTATAACACGTGTGCAGAGAAGTTAAATTTTAATGATGGAATACTTAACGAGTGCTAGTATTTTTACAGCTACAGTATTTTTTTTACAGGCAAAATGATAGCCAATGATATTAGTCATCAATAAAGTACAATATGCGAGAAGTCAAATATCGAAGAGTGAATACTTTACGAGTATTCGTATTTTCACATCTACGATGTTATGATATCAGCCATCCAATAAAATATAATAAGTTTACAAATAAGTCAAATTTCAATTAGTGGATGCTTTACTAGTGTTGGTATTTCCACACTTATAGTGTTATTCATTCAATGTGATATGATATAAGTCATTCAATAAAGTACAATGTGTGTGTGAAGAAGAGTCAAATTTCAACTATTGGATACTTAACGAGTATTAGGAGGTGTCAAATTTCAACGATCGGATACTTAACGAGTATTAGTATTTATGCATTTACAGTGTTATTTAGGTTATCAGCCATCCAATAAAGTACAATAAGTCTACTGATGAGTCAAATTTCAACGAGTAGATACTTTACAAGTGTTGATATTTCCACACCTACAGTGTTATTCAGGTAAAGTGGTATGATATAAGTCATTTAATAAAGTACAATATTTGTGAAGAGAAGTCAGATTTCAACTATTGGATACTTAACAAGTAATGAGTATTAGTATTTCTACACCTACAGTGTTATTTAGGTAAAATGATAGCCAATGATACCAACCATATAATAAAGTACAATATGTGTGCACAATATGTGTGCAGAAGATTCAAATTTCAAAAATTTCAACGAGTGAATACTTTACGAGTGTTGATAATTCCACACCTACAGTGTTATTTAGGCAAAATGGTAGGCAATGATTTCAGCCATCCAATATAATACAATTCGGAGTCAAATTTTATTTTATTAGGAAAGATAAACTCACTAAATTTTGTTTATGTAAATTGCATCTCCTCTTGGCAAAGTCGAGGGCATAACAGTCATTTTGATGGTACAACTTTAGCAATTTTTCTTAATTTGATCAACCCAAATCAAATAAAATATATTGCAATAAATTGAAAAGTAGAAGTGGTGGACAGCTTATTCAAGCTGTGAATTTGGGAAAACATAAGGTCCAAAATATTTAATGTTATTATAAATAGAGAATAAATTGTTCTTGTTGAAATAAGAGAAGAATTGTGACAAATGGCGATATTGTGGGTTATTTTGATGCCTAAAGTTCTCAATTTCTACTTTAAAGGGGACTATTGTTCTTCTATTGACTTGAGTCAGCAACATAGCAACCTCACAACACAACCATTGAAATTGTTTAAAGGTCTAAAATGTTCTTATCTTTTTACACCATAGTCATGATTTGCCCTCTCTTTTTTCAATGAGGCACGATTTTGCCGTGTAGCACAATCACATTGTCCAATACCGGATGGATAAAGATTCTCTCCGGTGTAGAAGAGATCTAACATAATATTCAGGGATTAAGATTGAATTGATAAATAAAACTCATTAATAATGATTTAATTTTAATCATTGAATACTGTGTTGAACCTCTCCTATATTGGAGATGATCTTCACGATCGTTTATACGTGTAACACAATTACATTGTATAACACTAAACAATCATATATGTGAGTAATTGTGATCTCCTGTAGTACAGTGTTGTACTACATATACTTCAAACTTTATTTAATTTCAAAGATTTGGTCAGTAAAAAATCTGTTTGTAGATGTTTCTAAGTTTGTTAAAAAAGACAGTTCTCCTTGAGTAATGTCATAGTCTAATTAAATATTGTCAAATAACTCACTCTCGTTTTTTACATTTTTTTTTTTTTTAATTCTCATCCTGAAAAGATAAAATGGTCAAAATTTTCGTTATATAATAATTCCTAATTAATTTTTTTCTTATTTTTTGTGAGAGGGACCGAAGAATTAATGTTTGAAATTAGAGCTGCAGAAAATTTAGTTCAAAACTAAATTTGGAATATGGGATCAATTTTAGTGAGCTAGCCAGTCTATTTTTGACTACTTGGTCTTGTCAAGGTGGTCCACGAGGACCACAACCAAAAGCTAACCCTACGTGTGAGCCAAAAACATCACAATTACAGGACTAGGGTCCCCTCTTTTCCATATACAACGTAACCACATGACACGTCCTTGTTCTTTTTAAATAAATTGGGAAAGTTACAAATACGAAAATTATCACATTTTGAGTATGAAAAATAATGCATTAGTCACATCACCATATTAATTGTTCATATAAAGTCCACTTACACTCACAATATTATTCCTAATAGAATTTGAACATTTAATTTTTGTTTTAAGGAGGCGGCATTCCCTTTGTCTCTCCCTTTACTCTCTAAATTCTATTCTCATAGTTTCCAAAGAAAACAAAATTTAATTTAAACAGATAGTATAGTTTTCAAAGAAAACAAAATTTTATTTAAACAAATAAATTTTTTTTTTCATGTTAATGGTAGTGACATGAAAGTTGTTGTCTGTTTGTATTATTTATTTATTTTTAAAAAAATATTTTTAACTTGGCAAAAAGGAGAGAGGGAGAGAACCGAGTGAGTTGAACTTGGACTCTCACATGACTTAAGGAAGTGTCTCTATACAAATTGGACAATTCATCTCATCCCGTGTTACGTTAGTTTAGCTCCAAATATATATATTTTTAATTGTCTTATCTTTTAATAATTGTATAAATACTCTCACAAAACTATAAAAGTACAATTGGTTACATTCAATGACATTGAAAAATGAATGATTCCATATTTCTTAAAATGAAAACGAGTGTTATCAACTAATATTTATGTTTTGTAATCATTATTTAGGTTTAATTATTATTTTTTTAAAAAAAAAAATTTCTAACTTGGGACATAGTGTGACACTTCAAACTAGTCAATGAATGGAAAATGTACTATGAATTTTGATGCATAATTTTAACACTACAAATATAATTGTATCTTATTTTGAAACAACAAATACTCTTTCTCAAAACTTTTTGCATGATGAAAAACTAATGAGCTCAATCACATAATTGAAATGACGAGATACTTTAGTTGCCCGCACCCGTCTCGAGTTCAACTCCATTTTCTCCGTTGCCAAGAAAAAAATGTACTGTACTATATATATATATATATATATATAAAATTTTATATACGTATATGTACAGTGCGTATTGCAGGTGAAGCTTCCAAAGGATGGACAGTGAACTTGAGACGAATACCAATTAATTTGGTCCATGGTGGGTCAAAAAAACTGAGTTATGGTGTCCATACATTTGCTAAGAGCAGAAAGTACCATTAATTTTTTTCCAATTGTTTTGGGAAAGTGAAAGTGAGAGTGAGAAATATCTTATCCTTGAATTATTGGAGTATACGTGTAAACCAGCAAATGGTTGACGGAAATCTGACTAGATGTGGGCCCACTATTCTTCAGCCAAAGTCAACATTTTTACTCAACTTATCCTAGACTGGCGTGGTATGCCTTTTCATCATGTTTCTTTGTTGAGGGGAGAAAATTATTGAGATACTTGCAGTGACGGAGGGAGTTAAGAAGCCTCGGAGGGACACTTTCTCTCCTCTTATATTATATATATATCTTTTTATTATAATATATATATATTTTTATAAAAATATAAAAAGTGTCACCCCGATTTTCACCTTTCCTTATAATATTCTATATATGGTTTTTTTTTTCTCTTAATAGTTTTCTTAATTCTTATATTCTACATTTATCACTCTTTCTATATATATACTCATCAACATTAAGTTATACACATGGACATTATATATATGTATATATATATATTATGGTGTACAATATTGCAAAATGTGCCCTTCCTGAACAAATTTTTTAGCTCCGTTCCTGAATATTTGTGAATAGTATAATATTATATTATGAAGAAATTAAATTTAAAATTACTATATAGTTCAATAGAGAGATGTCATGCAATTAAATGTCGATTTTATTAGGGTTTTGCATTACATGACATTTTCGGAACAAATGGTCTGGTGTGGTGTGCTTTTTTCATCATGTTTCTTGGTTGAGAGTTATGGAGAAATTATCGAGGTTCTGCGTGGAATTGGACGGTTTATAAGCGTAACGCATATGCATTTTTGCATGTGTGATATTTGTAAATCATATATAGTACTGTATTACGTTTCCAGAGACATATCGACATTGGTAGGGATTCAGAAGATAAGTCTTTGAGGTCTCGCTTTTGAACCACACCCCTGACTTGAATGGTGTGTGTGTTGTGAGACTGATACACATGTTCTAAGAAAAATAAATAAATATATATATATATATATATATATCACTGACTTGAATGGTGTGTGTGTTGTGAGACTGATATACATGTTCTAAGAAAAATACTTGAATGGTGTGTGTGTTGTGAGACTGATATATATGTTCTAAGAAAAATAAATAAATAAATAAATAAATATATATATATATATATATATATATATATATATATATATATATAATACTGTATTACAGAGAATTCAAATTCGAAATTATTATGTGGTCCATTGGATGTCATGCGACAAAAAATTATCTAAATTGGTATTGAGGGCTATGGTTGTACTACAATACGTTAGGTGGTTAGTTTGGGTTGTATTTTTGGGTCTTGTCCAACTCTAACTTGGCTCCAGCCAAATTGATCCATTTAG